ATAAAATGGTTCAGTTTAAAATGTGTTAGAATAGTTGCATTTTGATTTCCCGTTGCATGTCTGCGTTTAAATTGACTTTTACAATAAATCTTGTTGTAAGTCCAGTTTACAATGACTGCATAATATTACTTTTATTTATTTTTAGTAAATGGAGACATTTCTGATCCGGATGGTGAACTTGTAGATGATACAGAATTTAAGTATGCGAATTCATCCATGGAAGTGACTGGTAATTATTTTTAAGACAATTTGTTTCTATTTTGAACATTTTAGTCAGTCGCGCTTACTGGTAAATACTATAATATAAAAGTTATTAATGTAAATATTATTATAGGTACGCATGAGTATATTATTGCTAAGAAATTAAAAGAGGGATTCAAAATAATTTATAATAGTTCACACACAATTTTATGACCTTAATAAAATGATCTCTATCGATATCGTTTTTAGCCACAGAAAATGATTAAGTAGTACGTTTTAATTTTAGTCTGTTCTACGACAGCTTTTAATGTGCGCCATTCTTAAAATAATCGCAATGCCATCATTATGACAAGCATTTCTCAAAGGGAATAATAATTAATGTACTTTATTTCGATAGTCTGTTCTACGACAGCTTTTAATGTGCGTCATTCTTAAAATAATCGCAATGCAATCATTATGACAAGCATTTCTCAAAGGGAATAATAATTAATGTACTTTATTTCGATAGTCTGTTCTACGACAGCTTTTAATGTGCGTCATTCTTAAAATAATCGCAATGCCATCATTATGACAAGCATTTTTCAAAGGGAATAATAATTAATGTACTTTATTACTTTGAAGACTAGTTTCCAATAAAATTTTCTCTACTACGTTACTTTTAAACTATAGAATGATTGAATAAAAAGAAAACAACGGGAATAACGCCCAAATAGAGCTACAAAAATGGACAGATAATTTTCGATCTTTTATTCTGTTTCCTTTCGGAAACAGAATAAAATATCTAATTCTGCTTGAAATTGTATAATTGTATTTGCATTCAGTTTCCTCCTTCCTATTACTTGTAGCTTTCAGAAACAAAATAAAAGGGCTAATTCTGCTCGTAATTATATTTACAATGAGTCTTTTTTTCTTCAATATTTGTAGCTTTCAGAAGAGGAAATAGAATGGCAGCAATAATAAAGGGAAGAGTTGACAGCTCGTCTTTTTATTTTTTTCTCGCATGGAGAGCATTGCTTATCTTTTTGACATTTACATTTTAAATCAGTGTCCTTTTTCCTAAGTAGCATAGTTTAGGTTTAATGGCCTATGCCTCGTTACTTAAACCTCAAACTCCAATTTTTAACTAAAGTTTAAACATTTTTCTTTTAACTTTTTAATCATTGGTGTGACTAATTTATGTAAAAATACAGACTGATGAGTTTTAGTTAAATGCGAATTTTTTGTTCCTTTAAATTTTGTTAAGTTTTCTTGCTAAGTTAACTATAGTTACCCTTCTGAAATTAATGTCTACTTCAGCAAATTTGAAATAAAAAAAAATTACTAAAGTGCTAAAAATATATAAGATAATAATAAGCGTCAATACACTAATTAGCTACATTTAGAAGTAGGTGAAAAGGTTGAAATAAAGAAGAAGTGAAGGGCGGTAACATGGAACACCTATGAGTTTCATCCAGCATTGAAATTCCCGTTGACATTTTTCACCTCTCTGATGATTTGATTAATTTGGATAATAATTTCGTTTTGCCCTGATTAAATACTAATTTGTAACGGTTAATAATGATATTTTTTGATAAATGATTAAATATACATATAAAGGATGGATATAAAACACAGTGTTTATTTACGTATTACCCAAATTTACGTCTCACATGCGCGTTCATTCTTGGAATTCTCTAGCTCTTAGTTTTAGTTTAATGAGATTGAAATTGTAGATGTTTTAAAATGAAATAAAACCACAGATTACGCTGGAGAACATTTTTGGTTCATGGTTATTTACGTCACTGATTTTAAATCTGCAATCGATTCGTATTAGCTTAAAAATGTTATATGTAACAGGGGGTCTCGTAAATATTGCTACAAGCTTCTAGGGAAGTTAGGGTTTATCATCAGGATTAAAACTTCGTAAAAATACGTGCTCGGAAATTTTGTCATACGTTACTAGGGAAACTCCCCTGTCATGATCTATTTCTTTGAGTGCTTCTAAACAGGTTGTGGCGTAACTACTACTACGAAAATTAAACATCAATTCACTGGTATATAAGACATGCTAACTTGATTCAATCATGAGGTACCTTTTGATAGATGAAGGTTGGCATTGTCGATAACTCCGCCTATGTCACTGGTGTCCTCCGGATGTGATTTGTACACGCAGTAACGCCCACTTCGCAAAAATCTTGACAGTAACGCCTACTTTGTTGGATGATCCACATTGAGCAGTTGACTTGCTACTTGTGACTGAAAATGCAACACAGGAGCAACAACGAAAGCTACGACGTGATGATGTTAACAACTCTCTCATTCAGGACTCAACAAACAGCTCTCCCGGTCTTTCACAAGAACAGCAACTAGTGAGATACGAACATCGAATTCTATCCCTGTTAAAATTCTGGTGGTGGTGCATTGTGGAGTAACTACCACTACGAAAATTTAACATAAATTCACTGGTATATAAGACATGTAAACTTGATTCAATCGTAAGGTACCTTTTGATAGATGAAGGTTGGCATTGTCGATAACTCCGCCCTCTACAAGGTCATAATAGGGAGTGCCCCTAGTTGCGTATGAAAACATTTCCGTTTATAGGTTCCTATATAATTTCAATAGTGATGATATGTCCTAACTCAATTATAAGTTTATAGCAACATTTACGCCATCCCCTGACGTATATAACTTTTTTAAACTTATACATGTCGACAAAAATTAGACTAAAAATGTTATTTTGAAGGGAAAAAAACTGTAGTTTTAGAAGCAAAACTTACTTCATATTCGAAATCACCACACCAGAATTAAGCAAGATCAAGTATAAATGCAACCTAAAATTTGTTCACCAGTGTAATGAGTATCATTTTATTTCATCGCTAAAAATTTAATTATTTTAATAAATTCCTGATTTTAAGCTTACATATATTTATTTTTGGAACAGGTATAAATAGCAGTTCAATACTGTCGAATTCAACAGATTTCAAATTAATTTTGTTGGTACTCTCCCTCATCCTGCGACTAAGTATGATGTTTCAAGTCACTTAAATCCAAGAAAATTATTCCATTCCTCAAGCAGAAGATGAAGGATGAAAACACAGATATCGTGATAAATATTCGACTTGTTTTCATTGTACCAGAGCTATCACTAACAAATTTCTGTGATGCCATTAAATGTGTTACTCAATCATGAATATTCTTCGATATTCCGTCAACCTGTATACAGTATTACTTCCGTTTTTACTTTGTCTTCGTGGTTGTTCTTGCTGATTGTACTTAAAGAAGAAAAAAAAACTACTGGAAAAATATTTTTGTGACATGACAATGACGGAGCTCATATTAGTATAAAGTGTTTTCCATTTGGCGACTCGTGAAGGTTGTACTGACACTCAAATCAATGTTATCTTCGCAATCTTCAGATTTGTTGTACATCATAAAAAAGCTTGAAGTTCAGGATATTAAAAGGCTTTACAAGGATATACTATCTATTTAGCAAAAATGCAGTTGATTCAGAATCAAATGAGGGTAAAAATAAAATAAATAAAAATTAGAATTACTGAAATTAATTTGAAATTGGCAATGTTTTTTCTAACCTAAATAAGGACGATGATATACGTGATTTCACATTATAACAGTTAAGAATAAATATAAAATCAGAATTTATTCAATTAAATCAAATGTAAGCATTACAAAAAAAAATACTTGCAGGGTGTCCCAAAACTCATGGTACATACTTTAGGTGGTGACTGAAGACTACTGGACTAGCACAAATCAACATTAGTGTGTTAGCGCTAGAGTGCAAAACACGCTGTGTCACGAAATGATGAGAAACAAGACATACATAGATGGAATGAAAATAATCCGATAAAATGAAGATAAAGATTATATTTAACAAAAGGAAATTAAACAGCACTAAGTCTCACACAGCAATTGCTCAAATTTGCGGTACCAACATTAATGCGAGTTTCACTAGTCGAAGGAATGACTGACCCTTTAATTGACGGAAGGAATGACTGACCCTTTAATTGACGAAAACACACTCTCTCACGGAGTCAGTAGCTTTCGATCCGGGCAATAAGGATCGAAAGCAGAATCAGACCATCAACAGAATCTATATTCAACGGAATCTATTTCAACAGAATCTATACGACCATCGTCGTAGATGAGGTACTACATATGATCAAAGAAAAAAAGGTCTAGATACGAAATTAAAAGTCCAGACATAGAGAAGTCTACGAGTCGTTGTATATATTTTTTATATGTTACGACTTCAGTTGGGATCATGGCATGTATGGTGGTTTGTACTTGTCTAGCTGTACTCTGTCAGCTTTAATGTATGAATTTTGGGACACCCTGTATTTACAATTTTTGAAGCCATTTCTCTAACATTGTCGTAAATCAATTTCAAACTGGACCGATTTCCGGTGAATTGGTTTAAAAGGAATGGATAATTAAATCAAGAAGACAAAAAACTTAAATCAGTAATAAATCGAAAATATTGCGCAACCCTTTGTCAGAAAAATTTAAATTGAATTTTGAAAAACAAAAAATTTCAGGAAATCAGTTTAAAAAACAAATACTCTTTTTTTCTTCGAAAAACTTACATAAATGGGATTAGCGTATTAATCTTAATTGATTGTCTTCCAAAAAAAAACAAAATGCTTATTCTTTTTTAAAGTAATTATTTCTATTAAATAAAAGTATTTGAAACTCTTGCAGTTTATCGCACAAGTGAATATTATCTAACAAAAATACGTTGAAAGATATATTTTTCTTTAATCAATCATACAGCAGTAATTAAAATAAATAAATTGAAGCTGTAAATTATTATTTGAAACTGATTATTTTAAAATTTTCTTAATTTTTATACCTGCTGCTCACCTGCTTTTAACTACAATATATGTTATGAAAAAAATTCGTTAGTAATTGCTTCCCTAACTTAATGCATATATTTTACAATCTGAAAATATATGTTATCCTATTAAATTTTCAAAGTGAAATTAAAACTATTAATTTAAAATAAAAGTTAACTTCAAGCATTTAATTTTAAGAAATACAAGATCAGAATTAAAATTTGTCCAAATTTTGAGTTATGTTATTAGTATATAAATTTGAATTATTTTCCTATATACATGAACTAATATGTAATTAGAATCGGAATAAATTCTTTAGAATATATTCCCATTAAATTCGAAATTGAATTCAAATTTTTATTAAGGAAAATTTGATAAAGTACTTTTGTGATTGCATCCTTTATTTATAAATATATTGTTATCTGAAAATTTACTTTATCCTCATAAATTTTCAAAGCAAACTAAAAAACATTAATCTAAAATAAAAATTGGTCTGAAGTATTTCATTACATTACATATGTGAGTTGCTTTAAAATTTACCAAATTTTAAGTTTTGTTGCTCTCGTGTATATTTCAATCAGTTTCTTATTTTCTTAAGAAACTATATCATTAGATTTGGAATAAATATTTTAGGATTTATTTCGATTAAATTCGATTAAATTTTCCGATTAAATTTTTAGTGATTGCAATTTTTAATTAAACTAAATATTTTATGATCACAAAATATATGTTATTCTTATAAATTTTCTGAACTAAATTAAAATGACTTTATTTAAAATAAAAGTTAGCTTCATACATTTCATTTCAATACGCATTTCACATACTTTAAAATTTGATATTTGAGTTTTGTTATTAACATATACATTTGAATTAGTTTTCTACTTTCTTGCGTTGCTATGTTATTAGATTCAGTATATTTTTTTACCAGGTTTTTCTCTCTGTTTCCATTAATACTAAATAACGTACATTAACGAAATGAAAAGATACGAGCGTATAAAACTAAAACCTCAATTCAATCCAGAAGTATAAAAATAAAGAAAGCAAATACCCTTAAGCCTGAATATCCTGAAAAGTGAACGAGCTTTAAACTTTTGAGAAAGAAATCTCATAAACAAAAAAGCCAGAGGTAAGAAGCAATTTCAAAACATTTTTTTGCGAATTACGTAATTGAATGTATAAGTGAATCTTATGTTTTATGTGTGATGGCTCTGCTTTTAAAATAAATTCAAACATAAGTTAAGTGATACTGTGATTTGGTGTTGTAAAAATGTAAAATGAATTGTTATCTATTATGTACAAATACACTATGGCTAAATATTATTGTATCTGAAGAATTTGAAATGTAATAAACTATTACATTCAAACACACGAATGGTTCTGATCAAACGGGTTTAGCATAATTGAAAATGTCGAGTTTAAATATTAATAATATATTTAAGTGAAGTTTCTTATAAAAGTATCATGTTTTTTTTTCTCCGAAAATTATAAAATTTTGCATGTTTCAGAAATTCTCCAACATTTATTACTTCTGTACCATGTTTTTTTGTCTAATGATATGATACGAAATATTAATGATAAGTTATGTTTGTTGTAATTAATTTAAAAAATAATTTCTAGTCCTTTGATTAGAAAAAAAATATGAGAAATATAAGTTTAATTTTAAATTCGACAAAAATGAGAAGTATAAATGTAAATTTCATTTAATATTAAAAAAATATGAGAAATATAAATGTAAATATCATTTTATATTCAGAAAATGCAAAAAAAATTTAATGTAACTTAAGTTTTTCATTTGATTAATATGAGAAATATAAATGTAAATTTCATTTTGCATTCAACAATAAGAGAAATATAATTTAAGGTTTTATTCCAAAAGCTTTAAAAATATTATTTTTAACATTTTTCTTTTATATTCGAAGAAGTAATATAAATATAACTATGCGCACAACAATTATTTCTCTTTGCGAATTATTAGTTAGTTCTCTTCGTTTTAATATTTTTAAAATAAAAATATAGTTACTCATAAGAACATTTTAATAAATCTTAATAAAATCATCCATATTCAGGTTATTTTTAAAATCTCCTTAAATCTCGAAACAACTACATAGTTTTTAACAAATCTTAAAAATTAAATCGTTATTAGAACTAATTTTTAAAGAATACTTGAAGTACATCATTATTTTTTAATGATTTCACCAAAGAAAGTTCGCTTTAAAAATTTTATTTTTTAAGAAAAAATAACTCTTGTGAATTTGGGTGCTTAAATAAATTAAATGAATATCATATTTATTACTGCTATATGAGAGTGGTTTATCAAATAGTTGCAATAAATACCACACTCGCAAAATATACTTCAAAAAGATCTTCATATCATTGTTACTTACTACATAATCTTTATATATAAAAAAAGCTTTTCTTAATGCTGAGAAATGTTTTTAATGCATTTTAATAAGAGTTTCTTAAAGGAAATTGAGTAAACTTTCTTTAAAAATTACTATATACAAGACTCGTTTTTCCAAAAAAATCAAATAATAAAATTCATATTTCCAAAAACTATCCAAAAAGTTATAACTATTATGATAAATACAGTTATAAAAATTATGGAGGATAATAATTACTTGCTCTGATTATTTTTTAGTATGGAATTGATGTAATATTTCAAATTTAATATATTTAAAAATCAAAAAATTATTTTCAAACTTGAAATAGTGCTTAAGAACACCTTTTTTTCACCTTAAATGTTTAAAACCTTTTAAGTACTTTTATTACCTTAGAGCATAAAGTTATAACTCAGGTAAAATTAAATTTATTATTTTTTTTAAAAATTCAAATATTTAATTGCCAATTATTTTAGTCTTAAAAATAATAATTTATGCATTAAGAGCAAAATTCATTTATAAATTTATACTTGAAAGCTGAATTTCGAAAAGTTTCAAAAGCTATTAGCTTGTATAAAAAAAAAAAAAAAAATTAAATTTTTTAATAACGAAGATTCAGTTTTTATTATGTGTTACAACCAGAAAACTTGTAAGATGACGAAAAACTAATTAAAAACTTTACTCTTTTTGAAAATTTCTGTAGTGATTAATATTGTATTTTATATTTTTCTATTTATAACATTACATTATTGTTTTTCCATCTGCACTAAGTTTCCAAATATAGTCATAGCATCGTTCAAATGAATGCTCTCTACATTTTATTGTATCTGTATGCAAACATGGCTTAGATCAAGACCATTCAGAGAATTTTCAAGGAATTATGCATAAAACTATGTTGATAAAAACACGATTGTGATATTTCAACATTATATATCTGCATATGAGCAAGTTTGAGATTCCAGAGATCATTTTTCTCATTTGTAATTATAAAATTCTAGATGTGCCAATTACTGAAGAGGGACTCAGAATAATTTAATTTAATTAAATTCTTTGGTCTTCATAAGAGCATATGAAGGGATAAATGGTAATTATAATAAATTTTTGGAATAAATTTGTTTAGATATGTTATTGAAAAATATGTTGTTTTTTTAAACTTTCAGACACCGCTTGGTACTTCATTCAAACATAGAACATTCAAACTTCTTCCATCAAAACGTTTTCTTCACAGTTAGAAATTTCTCGGTAAAAATGGTTGAATAGCAATTTATTCAAATGTTATTTTACCATATTCAAGGAAAACAGTCGAATAACCTAAAAAGTTGATATTCAAACTGTTAAATGTGAGAAAAACGTTTATTGATTGTTTTTACCTAACACGGTTTAAAAACCAAAATTCTATACGCGCCAATCAAGCCATTTTATTCTGTGCAGCAGATACATACTGTAAATGAGAGGGCTAACCGGTCAATCTCATGATTGGCTAAGCAGGTGTTTGAATCCCAGAGTTGATACCACAATATTTCTTCCATTCCCTTAACACATAAAAGTTTATATTGTCCTACTCTCTTCAATCAGTAACCCTAGGCTATTAGAAAACGAAACTATCAGTCACGCATAAATGGCGCAGCACCCACGGAGCTGTAATATTCGTTTTATTTTTATGGTTTAGAAACTATGCTATTTGTAATTGTACATAAAACAGTATAGTTTTACATTCGTGGTTTTTAAACTGTAACAGTGGTAAACTTCTTCAAAACCGTAAAGGTAAAGAACAATGAAATAAACATCCGATTTACCATAAACATAAAGATTAATCAGATGGGCAGACAGCAGCCGGCTATACTGAATAATTTCAGAATGAAAATTCTAACAGTGTTTATGTGAGATTTTTTTAATTATTATTTTTTTTTATTTTTAATGAACTAAAAAAAAAAATATCTCGTGTAAATTTTAAGCAGATTGCGCAAGTTTGAGTTTTTCAAAATTAACTGGTCTGTTACATACGATGAACTGTTTCACTTACGTAGATGCCAATCGCACAGTTACTATATATTTTCAAAGAAAGTATGAAAACGTCTGCGAAAATGAATCAATGAATCTAGAGAATAGTTTTATAATCGAATGTAACATGCTATAGCACAACATAAAATTAAAAAAAAATGTTATTAGATGTTTTAATGTTTGTAGTAAATGACGAAAAATCATTAAATGTTTTTAAAGCAGTTATGTGTCTTTATTATTGAAAATGTATGAATACATTCACATATGCTATCATTTTAAATGGTGATCAGTTGCAATTATAAGTGTGCGTATTTCAATTAAAATTGTTGAAATTTCTGAATTCAAACCAGTTCAACACTTTAATTTTATCTACAGTGTCTCATCGCAAATAAAGCTAAATTGATTTCGTACCTTTATTGGATGAAAGGATAACCAATGAATCAAACAAATATATTAAGTACGTCTGTATCCAAACACTACAAAAAAAAAACTCACTATTCCACCTACACAGACAAAAAAAGACGGAAAAGGGGGGGAATGCCCCATTGCTATGAAGATGCTGATATACACTTAGACTCACAAAATGGACTTAAATACCAAACACATTTATATATGACTTGAAATATGCTATGTTGCTTACCCAGAATGCAATGTTTCCAATATCAGAGATCTTGAGGACCTATCCATACCTAGAGGACAGTAGTATCAATTCTATTTCAGGTTTCAATAATGGTAGCCTTCACTTCTGCAACACATTAAAACAGC